GACCGGGGCCGTGATGCGGGCAGGGCCCCGCGCTCCCGGGGCCGGAGCGTCCTCCCTTTCTCTGAGCTTGGGCCGGTGAGGAGAGGTTGAACGTTCCGCCTGATGCACGCGTTTAATCTCTGGTGGTGGGGCCGGTGGTTCAGAGTTTGCGGCGGGGGAATAGAATGAAGCTTTGGCCCGATGGGGTTAAACCCCCGTTTCCCTCCGGGAGGCGGCGAACGGGAGGTGGAGGGTTTGTCCGCTGACGGCTGTTTAACCCTCCCGGTGGGGTCCGGGACCTTCCCCGGAGGGGACAGCCGGGGGGGCGGCGGTGCCGGTCCCGCCCGGTGCTGCCCCCGGGGCCTGTCAGGAGCCCGTGGTCCCTTCCCGGGGGTTACGTTTCTCTTATTACTAGTTCTTTACCAACTCGCCCGTAGCCGTGAGTTTTAGAGGAGAAAAGGAGGAAAAGCGGTGGTAACGAACCCGGTGTGAGGTGCCCTGGGCTGAGCCGGAGCCCCCCGGGGGTCGGACAGGCGGGGGGCCGGGGACGGGCCGGGGCGGTTCGGGGGGAGCCGTTACCGAGACCCGTGTGACACCGCGGCGCTGGGACCGCCCGGGAGCCGGGAAAGTGCCGAACACCCTGAGCGGGGAGGGTGGCCCTTGGTCGCGCCTGCCTTGGGGCTGGTGGGGCTTCATTGGCAGGGACGGATGGTGCCCCTCGCCCGGCGGGACAGAGCTCCTGGGGGCCTGCGCTGGGGTCGGGGGGCTCTCCGTGCCCAGAGCCGCTCGGGCAGGACGCTGCCTGGGGTCCCTGCCCGGGGGAGGGGGTTCCAGGGGGTGTGAGCTTGCCTTGGTCCCTGAGCGCCTTCCCAAACACTCCAGGTGGAACAGCCACCTTAGCGACCGGCCGCCTCTCCCTGTGCACCCCAGGGCCATGTTTAGTGTTTTTGTGGCATTGACTGTGTATCAGCTGTGTGTAGCTGCCTGTTCTTACACAGGAGCTAAGTGAGGATGTAATGCTTTCCCATGACAGCAATAAAAAGTATTTTTAAAAAGCTGACAGTCTCCCTTCTCCTTCCGTTCCCCCAGCTCACAGATGGGGAAACCAGGAGCAGGCAGAGAGCAGGGGTCGTTAGAGCCCAGGTGAAAAGTAAAATGGCCAAGGTTCCTGAGCCTGAATCTGGTGTCCTAATATTTGTTATAGTGTTGAAAGCAGAAATTGTCAAATGTTTCAGTTGTTGCAGGCAGAGTGGAAGTGGTCGAGTAGGGACAGACACGTACACAAAATCGTAGGACCGTGTCCCGAAATGCCCCAGCCGGCACCTGCCTGCAGGTGTTAACCATTGTGTGCTCACCACCTGAACCTGCCGCCTCGTTTAGAAATTTTAGCTTAAACTAGGACCTTTGAGCCACGACAGTGTGAGGTTGGATTTAAAAGTGTATGCACTTGCTCTCCTGGGTTAATGTTTAAATATATAAATAAATTCGAGAAATGTTTTCCAGCTCTGAACGCTGCAATCTGGTGCTAATGCACGAGATTGAGAGTGAAATGGATTTTCATGATCCAAGCCAACTCCAGCCGAGGAGAACAAGTGATATATAATTAAAAAATCTGAGGCTAATTTGTTTTTAAAGTCTCTAAAATGTTTTTTAATTGGACTCTAGCTTTTAAATTACTTGAATAATGCTTCAAAGTGTTATTTGTACCTTCTATGTCATCTGAGTTTTTGTTTTGTCTTTGATTTGTTGGGTTTTTTTCTCCAAATCCTCACAAATGCTCTTTCAGAGGGTTTATATTGGCTTGGCTTTTTGGGGGGAGCCCAGAGCTTTCCATCCTGAAACAGTTCTGCGAGCTCTTTGGTGATTGCCTGCCCATTAAGGTAACCCCTCTCAGCTGTGCATTGCGCAGACCTGGGGAAGGGGACCCTGGCTGTTCTGCTCACGTTAAGACAAATGGTATCAGGAGGCAGTTGGAGACACTGAAGTTGAGATTTTATGTTTCTTTTACATAATCAATCAGTGGAGCCAGGAGTTGAATGCAAGCAATTGGTATACCAGCCACCAGGTTATGCTGTCCTTAACAATGGTCATTAACTTTTTCCAATAGAATTTTCAACCTCATTTTTAATTCTGTGTGACTTTTCACATAGCTTCTTGTACAGCTATGCACGTTGTGTGTTGGTGGTCTTATTCTGAAAACTTTACTAATCCATGTCCATTCTCAACGCGATCCTTCCCTTGTCCTTTAAACCCAGGCTCTTCCTCCCATTAAATTATTTTCACGTAACCTCAATATCTCCTGGAGTTCAGAGTAAGCATGTTATTTCTGTATGTTGTTTACACCAAGCCTATTAAAATACAGTTCTCTTTGCACAATATAAAATGGTTGTCTCCAAAGTCACTTGGTGCAAAGTGGTGGTTTTTTGTTTTATTTTGTCTCTCCCTCTCAGCAAAAACTTCTGCATTTTTCCTTTGGGAAAATTTAATGTTGTTTGCTTTTTCTCAGATGGGCTTTCAATTCCCACTGGTAAAGAATGTATTTTGTTGGCTCTAATAGAAAGAGGACATGTAATGTGTTTTGAAAATTTAACTCTACCGGGATTCATGCTGAGGCTGCTTATAAGTTCACGTTTCAAACGTTTATCTCTCTCTGCAGGAAAATCTGTTGTGACAAGCAGACTCATAAACCTGGCTTTTCTCTGGCCATTTCCTTGTACCTACTGAAATTGAGTTTTTTGCCATTTCTGGATTTAAGCACAGCACTCTTTCTAGCTGTGAAACAAACTGGATAACAATAACCTGAGCAGTTTCACCCTGAAAAATTTCTGAGCCTTTCAGAAACACAATTGCAACCACTTCTGAGCAGAAATATAGTACTTTATTTAACAGCTTGTATTTACACCACCCAGTTCTTCATGGAGAGTACCAAAGAGTCAGTGCAGCAGGAGCGATCAGTGAATGCGATGAACAGTAACTACACAAGCTGAAGAAGGCATGGATGCTGGACACAAGGTTTTCTCCTTTGAGAAAAGAGTGCTGTGGCTTTTACCTGTGGTCGTGACTATTCCAGGATTTCATGAGCACTGTTCTTTGCCTCCGATGCTGCATTGTCCCTGTGGTGCTTCTCCAGTGTCCCATCATGACTCATGGTTGAGGAAAGCACTGCAACTGGTTTGAAAGCTTGTCAGTTTCAAACTGCTGGTTTGAAAGGTTGTTCCTAACCCCGGAGGTTGCAGCTATGTTGAGATGAGGTGGGTCTGCCCTCGGAAACCCATCGTTGTCAGAGTTTAGCCAAATTGCAGTAAGACAGGTCCTGACTGCCTGTGCTCATTGGGGCAGACCAGGAACTCAACAGAGGGATGGGAAAGGCAACCTCTGTGGGTCTCTTCCAGTCCTGGGCTTGTGAATAAGTTCGTATATAGTCAGTGTATGTCGTGTCTTAGTAGTCTTCATTTTATTGATCTCTTATACCAGCATGTTGCTGCAA